GCAGGGAGCCCAATGCAGGGCTCCATCCCAGGACCCTGGGATCATGACCTGAGCCGAAGGCAGACGCTTAACGACTGAGCCACCCAGGCGCCCCTCGGCATGAATTCTTATTTCTTCTTCCTGTTTAATGTGAAGTGCTGTATTTTAGTTTCTGGACTTACCTTCAGTTTTTATGTGATCGTTTCTAAAGTATACTGTAGTTTTCATAAGCATTGTAATAAAAACCTTTATTTGTTAGATCCTCTCCAACCTGAAATTTGAAAATTTTCACATGTAATGGGCTCAGGTTTGTTTTTTATTCCTTTGGCAATAGCAGATTGTGCAAATAGTCATAGATTGTTGGTTTTAGTCTATGTAAAAAATACCATTTTGGATGCTTATTTAAAAAGTCATTCTAGGACTGACCATATGCTTATTTAAATGAATGTATTTATTAAAAAAGTATGAGTGACCACTGTACACAAGGCACTGTTCTGGGCCTTTGGGGATACAGTAGAGAACAAAACATAGCCTTACCCACATGGAACTTACATTTTAATTGAGAGAGAAAAATATTAAATGGATTAAGATGAGTTAGGTGGTAAATGCTCTGCAGACAAAGTGAGTAAGGATGGATAGTGAGGGTTTGGAGGTAGAGGAGTGCCCTGAGGCTTTGTTATTTTGTATAATTATTTGGAAGAGTTCATCTGATAAGGTGACATTTGAGCAAAGATCTGTAAGAATTAAGTGTGGGAGCAAAAAGTGTAGATATCTAGGAGAAGAGTATTCTGGGCAGAAGGAACAGCAAGTGCTAAGCACCTGAGGTAAGAGTTCTTGGTCTGTGGGAGGCATTGCAAAGGAGACATCTGTGTAACTGAAGCAAAGTGACGCAGAGAGAGCTGATCACAAAGGGTTTATAGCATTGGTTTATAGCATTAGAATATATATATTCTAATATTATATATAAAATCCTGTAGTTGAAACTACAGTCTATACCTTTTGCTTCATTTACGATCTGACTTAAATCTTAAGTCAGATTTCTGACTAATCGAGCAGTTTATTACCAACTTTGTGATGAAGAGTGTGGAAATTGCTAACAAAAATGTTTGCAGTCTCCTTTTAAGGTCTCTCAAACTAGTTAGAAGGTAATGATTTGGAAATAAATAATTACAGTGTAGGATAATTCTATTATGTAGAATTATGTGCTAGCTTTAGTGACTGGGGGGTACCTTGGTATGTGAAGGGAAGACTTGATTCATTTTGAAGAATGAGCAAGAATGTAAAGATGCAGGGGTGAAACAGCAAGGTACATCACAGAAAACTGGAAAGTGGTTTTGTATTGGAAGCTAAGATTTGAGATGGGAGAATATTGACAAGGATGAAGTGTATGCCATCCTGTAAGGAGTAGGGATGTCATTGAGGTTAAGCAGTGAAAGTGTTGTGTTGTAGATCATTCTATGGTCAGTTTAGAGAAGGGGGGTGTGAGGTGGGTGAGACCCCAAATCAGGTATCATCAGGTAAGAAGCAGTCAGTCCATCATTTCTTTGTGGGGACAGTTTTGGGTGGAGCAGGTTTGTTTGTTTTTATTCATTTATTAATTTAAAGTAGGTTCTATGCCCAATGTGGGGCTTGAACTCACGACCCTGAGATCAAGAGTCACATGCTCATTCAACTGAGCCAGCCAGGCGCCCCAGTGGGTGGAACAGTTTTAAAATGTGAAGTGCCGATTGTGCACTTTGCAGGACAATTTATCTTCCTCATCCTTGGTATTAAATGCCAGTAAAATCTCTGTGTTAATCTCCCTCCCCAATTTCTGAATACTTCCAGGAGAGGTGGCACCCCCTAGTTAAGAAATAGAATTTAGGAGCACCCGAGTGTCTCAGTCAGGTAAGCGGCTGCCTTCAACTCAGGGTCCTGGGATTGATCCCATGTCCTGTTCTCTGCCCAGCGGGAAGCCTCCTTCTCCCTCACCCTCCACCTGCTTATGCTCTCTCTCTCAAATAAAATCTTATAAAAAAATAAAAAAAAAAGAAATAGAATTTAAACTCTGGCTTTGGCAATGATAGTGGGATGGAGAGGAACAGGTAGAATTGCTGGAGATTTAGGAGACTTGGTTACTGATGGGCTCTAGGGAGTGTATATGAATACAGAGAGGTAGGAGCACCTTTGGGGTAGTACTGTGACAACAAATTTTATGACAGGTTCAGTTTTGAAAACTAAAAAAAATACGACTCTGAGGAGTGTGGACTTGATGCCATCAAGAGGAAGTAACTTTAAGAATTGAATAGCTTATCAAAACAATTTCTGGAAGGATATAGAAAAATGTAGATATATCAAGATAAATAGAAAAAAACTAAGAATATAACTTATAATTGAGTTCAGAACTTGACCAGTGTGTTTGAAGTTTTAAAGGATTCAAAAGGAGCAAGACAGATAAGCCTTGCCCTCAGACTACTTTTTGAGGGGCAGAGAGAAAGCTTAGCTTTGGGAATAAGGTGTACATAATATATTTAGTGCTGTAGGACAGATATGAAGTGCTATTTAAGAAGAATCAGAGAAGGCAGAGATCAAGTTCTTTTTATTATCAGAAACTGAACCATACACACCAAATTGAAAGTACTATTTAATTTTTGTTGCAAGTATGAATTGTGAAAGCCTTGTATCATTCTCCTGTTCCAAGGGTACTCTGACCCTGTTGTGCTTTGTTCTTTAAGCATTGTTGGCTAGGGTAACTGCTTATCTAAAATTCATTTGTTTATTCAATGTTACTTTGTATAATAATTGAGCCTATTAGAACAAACATTTTTGAAAGATTATAAGCAGATAAATGGTCATGGTTGCATTGGTGTTTCTTGTGATCAAGGCCAAGTTAGGTCACTTGAATTTTTACTTAATCATTATGCGCTGAAGATTAAAAGTAGGCAAACTGCTTATGAGTCATGAATAACTTTAATTTCTTTCCCTTATGGTAGTTATAGCTGAGATATTTATACATTTTTATACATTAAAAGTAAAACAACTCATTTCTTGGTCTTCCTCTCTGTTCTCTAAATTGGATTGTATCTTGTATTTTCTTCATTGAATTTGACATCTCTTAAGTAGATAGGAGGTAAAACTCTGAGGTCTGTTAAGAGCTGCTCCCTCCCACCCCCCCCAGTTTTGGTGCTGAAACAATTATATGTTAGACCATTTTATAGTAATGCTCTCCCGCTTAAAATATAAAATTGGAACTTACATTGTTTTAACTGTTTTCAGAGTTCCTGGATCATTTCTTACTTGAAAATTTATGCAACAAGAAACTTCAGTTTGTTTCCTGTTTTGTTTATTAGTTTTAGCTAGTTGATACCAACTGATAACTGAACTCAGTAAAACTGAAGGGAGAGAAGAATGAAAATTTATATAAACAGATCCTACCCACTCTCAGACCACATGTTTTGCTCTGTTTTCTTAATAGTGCAAACACAGCATTCTAGGGAGAATATTAATAAAGGTAGTTTGACTTTCAGCTTGTTCATGCTTCTATATGTATGATTTTTTTTTAAGTTTTTTTTTTTTTTTTTTTTGGAATGGTAGGGATGAATAATCCTAGCACTGTAGTTCTGAAGGTTTATGAGTAATAAGAGAATTGAAAGTTCTTCAAGGCTTTGAAATAGTTCCTTTTGAGATAAAATACTTGAGGGTGAATTACTCTCAGAGGAAGTTTACTTTCTGTTATTGATCCTTTATGTGATCCTAATCAATATCCTATTAACTTCTCAGGTGGATTATAGTGGTCTCAGTTGTTCTCCTAAGAGATTTTTAATAACTTCTCCAAATTATCTATTGTTGCTCCACTGTTAGATTTTTCACTTGTCAGTGTGCGCATCTGAAATTAATAATAAAGCCAGAGAGTAAATCTGTTTTTTTTTTAATTGCAGACTTAATTCAGTGCACAAATGAGATGAATGTGAACATCCCACAGTTGGCAGACAGTTTATTTGAAAGAACTACTAACAGTAGTTGGGTGGTGGTCTTCAAATCTCTCATTACAACTCATCATTTGATGGTGTATGGAAATGAGGTAAGCCAAATTTTTAATTAACAAGCATATTGCTGTGATGACTGATGATTCAGCTTGATTCTCCTACTGAAATTTCGGGAATGGCTTCAAAAACCAAATAATACAGGTTAAAAGGGCAAAGTGACTAGGTAGAAATAAAATTGTAGATTCTACAATTTGAGGAGATGGTCTGTAAGTTGGGAAGCAGAAAGTGGGTCAAAGCACAGAAGACTTATAATGGATCAAGAAGCAGAGATTAATGCCTAGAGGTAGGTTCTGTAAGCAGCACTGGTCTTTGTAGACCTTGTGTATAGACCGTATGTTTGTCTTTTGCTTTATTATGGCTCAGATTTCTATCTGATATCATATAGTTGTCTCTGGAACCACTTTGCTTAGTTGAAAGCTGTTATATTGAGGACTAAGATGGCATTTGCTGAGAGGGACTGATTAAAGAGTGCCTTCTTAAGCAGAGGTGTGTCTGAAGTCTTTGAAGTCTTCATTGCCCAGAAGGTTAACAAAAAGATGCTTTTTGCAAAAGCTTTAAGCTTTTGCATTTTAATGTTTGGAGAGAATCTTCTTGTTTTCCATGATAGCCTAGCCAGCTGATTTTTAGTTCTTACCTTAAATGATTTTCACAGCCCAGTATACTTACTTGCAAAGTTGAGTTAGAAGGAACATTTAAAATTGTGTTAGAATATTTGAATGCAACTAGATAAATCTGCATTTAGTATGCACCTTAGAAAAATGCAGCCCACTGGTTGCTGAGAGATGGCTTCTGGAGAAATGGGAAGGGACTTTAATTAATGGTATTAGACTTCTGAGCATAATGACTTTCTGACATCCATCACTACTCATTTTGGGCTTTTCTGCTATACCAATAGAGAGCATCATTGAAATTCAGATTTCAAGCAAGAATTTACCTATAACTCTTTCATTGCAGCAGATCTTACTGTATGTACATTTTGGTGTTCCCTTCTGGTCCTTGTCTAGGAGTGATTTTTTTTATAGCTACAATCATAATTTAGATAAAATACTATATTTAGCTTTTTTATATACCATCACACCATAAGCTTTTCCATATTCTATATTTTTTATATTTATCATTTTGAGCAATTAAAAAGCAGGCATTTTGTCTCTTAAACTTTTAAATTATAGGGGCGCCTGGGTGGCTCAGTTGGTTAAGTGACTGTCTTTGGCTCAGGTCATGATCCTGGAGTCTTGGGATCAAGTCCCGCATCGGGCTCCCTGCTCAGCGGGGAGTCTGCTTCTCCCTCTGACCTTCCCCCATCTTGTGCTCTCTCTCACTCTCTCTCTGAAATATATAAATAAAATATTAAAAAAATATTTTTAACTTCCCTTTCCTAGAAATTTAGCTTTCTGATTATTCATTGTTAGAGCAGCACCACATTGGATGATTTTATTGGTGGTATTTAAGTTGTTTTTTTTTTTTAAAGATTTTTATTTATTTATTTGACAGAGACACAGCGAGAGAGGGGAACACAAGCAGGGGGAGCGGGAGAGGGAAAAGCAGGCTTCCCGCCAAGCAGGGAGCCCGATGCGGGGCTTGATCCCAGGACCCTGGGATCATGACCTGAGCCGAAGGCAGATGCTTAACGACTGAGCCACCCAGGTTCCCCAGTAGTATTTAAGTTTTAAAAGTTATTTCCAGAAGTGTTACCTGAAATATGATTGCTTAGTTAACAGACTTGATCATTTTTAGGACAAATGTTATTCAGTTGCTTTCTAATTTATTGTAGCCAGTGTACAGAGTTAATAGAAATATTTGGGTATTAGCTTTACTATAACTTGAAGCATTTTGATCTTAACTAGGGTAATAGTTTATGCTTTTATTGGGACTATGTTTACTTAAGATCATGATCATTCTGAAGAATTTCGGGTTTATGGTATTTTTCACCTTTTTAAAAAATACATATATAGTTTATTCTTTTTTTTTTTAAGATTTTTATTTACTTATTTGAGAGAGAGACAGAGAGAGAGCATGGTGGTGGGGGGATCAGAGGAAGAAGCAGACTCCCTGCTGAGCAGGGAGCCTGATGTGGGGACTCCATCCCAGGACTTCAGGATCATGACCTGAGCTGAAGGCAGTCGCTTAACCAACTGAGCCACCCAGGCGCCCCTAGTTTATTCTTTAAAAAGAAAAACCACAAATATGACCAATTAGAATGCCAGATAAAGAGGAAAACTGTTAGTGGTGGCTTTTAGAGACTGTAAATAAGATGATAATACTAGAGGCAAAACTTTGACAAAGGCAAAGAAACAAAGTTGACTATCATTCCTTACTGACAGGAGGAGAAAGATGATAGCATTTCTGTGTGGTTTTTAGATAAACCCATGTTCATTTCCCTTAAGCTAAGACAAATGTGATGTTCTTCTCATTGGCAGGTTTATTAGTCTGTAAGAAAGTATGCATATGATTTTACTATGCTGTGGTGATGAGAATACCATAGGGCAGGGAGGAAAGTGATCCCCTGTCCTGCCCCTGCCAGGAGACATTTGTCAAAAATGATGGGGATGCTCTTGGCACACCTAGGTAGAGGCCAGGGATGCTTCTGAACATATAATAATGCATAGGACAGGCTTCCCACAATAAAGAATTACAACAGCTTATGAAAATCATGGAGTCTAATACTGTCTTAGGATTTTTTTAAAGATTTTATTTACTTGAGTGGGGGGAGGGGCAGAGGGAGAAGCAGACTCCCAGCTGAGCAGGGAGCCCTGTTTGGGGCTCGATCCCAGGCCCCTGGGATCATGACCTGAGCTGAAGGCAGATGCTTAACTAACTGGTCACCCAGGCACCTCTTGTCTTAGGATATTTTAATACCTTTTTGAAACAAGTCATTTTAGGATAAGTGATGAAATGTGAGTCTTCAGTTTACAAATTGTTTTCAAAATCCTGACTTGTTAGTTTGGGGTGAATGCAGATGAACAAGATTGAGTTAAGGGAGTGATGGTGTATACCCTAATTGATAGTAACCCTCTGCATACGTTAAAAAAAAAAAAAAAGGAAATCCTAAGGAGAAGTGAAATTGAAAGGAATTAGCTCTCTATTTTAGAGGGTGTATATAAAGGGAAATGAAGGTAGTGTTCTATGGTAAGCACTTTGGAGAGAATTTTGACGGTATTTTGAGATGACCTTTACATAGATGCTGATCCAACAATTCTACCCTGTTTATATCATGATAAACTCCTGTATGTTTGCACCTGGATACCTAGTACAAAGATGCCTATGAAACATTGTTAATGATAGTGAAATTGGAAAGAACTTAAACATTCATGAAGAAATGGATACATAATGATATAGTAGGTCATTGAAATATTAGAACATCATTTTAAATGAATGAACTAGATTTACATATATTAAAGGGATAATTCTTGGGGAAAAGTTGTTAAAAAGCATATTGGAAAGGAAGTACAGTATGATTTTTCTGTAAATTGAAAATAGAAAACAAAATTTGTACAGTTTATAGGTTAAATATATGGAAAAATAGTAAAAATATGTGTGGGAATGATACCTACTTCAGAAAAGTGATTGACTTTGAAGAGGGAAGGAAATGAGATGGAAGGTGTGTTTCAATAGACTCTTTAATGTTTTGTTTCTGTAAGAAGATTAAAGTAAATATGGCAGTGTGTTTAATCTGGACGGGGGTAAGGGGATATCTATATTATTCTCTTGTATGATTACAAGTATTTCATTTTTAAAAATGTCATAAAAATTTGGGTCACCAGGTAGCTGTTTAAAGATGCCACTTTAGTGTGATTAACTATAGCCATAATATGCTGTAGTAAAGCCAGAATTGCTGGTTCCAGGGTAAAAGTGCCTCTTTCCTTTTATTTTGATGCTTATACCAAAGCCATGGGCATTAGGCTTTAATAAATTCCTTTGTGCTAGTGAAATATATGGATAATGTTTTTAGGTTTGGTAACTAATTAGGAGGACTGAGGATGAGAAGTTTAAGCTAGATAAGCTTAACGGAATGTGTTAAACACACCCCCCTCCCCATTCTCAAATTAGAGTTTGTTAGATGGCATTACCTTAATTTGACATAATTATTTGTTTGTTTGTTTTCCAGCGTTTTATTCAGTATTTGGCTTCAAGAAACACGTTGTTTAACTTAAGCAATTTTTTGGATAAAAGTGGATTGCAAGGTAAAGACAGCTTACTCATTATGGAAAATCAACCTTGTATGATGATTACTGCAGAGTTGAACTCTGTCTTTTAGCTGTAGAATTTACTAAAGTATTTACTAAATACTACATATTTAGTAAAAGGTGTGGGGAAGAAGAAACTGTCTTTTAATGTGAAGATTACAATTGACTTTAGTACTTGACACCTAGAACTCTAAGAAATAGATTAAGATAGTGGTTTCAGAGCATGGATTCTGGAATTGAATTGCCTGGGTTTCAGTCCCATCTCTACCACTTACCATGAGTCCCATCTCTACCACTTACCAGCTGCATGAACTTGAGCAAGTTACTTCACCTCTCTGCATCTATAACGTCAGGAATAACGATAGCACCTACCCTTATAGGGTTGTTATGAGGCTTAACTTAATTGATAAATGTAAAGTGCTTACAACAATGCCTGGTACACAGGGAACACTGTGTAAGTATGAGCTTTCATTGTTACTGTTATTATTTTATGCTTTATTCTGAGAAATGTAGCTGGAAATATTATATATTTTAGTAGCAAAGGTAAGTATGGTATGTTATTCAGATGAATTGCTCACTGATGCTCACACCTATTATTTCATTTATTTTACTTCTAATTCCATAACTTGAGATTGCTATACTCTGTTGTAGTGCTCCATGCACATTCTGTCTTACTGGGATCTGTTGTACTTAGTTCCAGAACTAGGCTGTTAATATTATACAGGGCCAGCTGTAGGAATAAGGGACATACCAGATGACTTGGGAATATTCAACAGTAGGGCTCAATCTGGGAAATGTCTTTGGAGAAGGGGAGATTTTGTGCTGGGCTTTGAAAGATGGACAAGGACATGGGTTAACTTAAGCAAAGGCACATAGATGTACAAAGATGTGAAAGAGTATGGAATATTTAAGATTTATAGAGCAAATGAATATGAACAGAATTTATGGGTGATGTATTGCAGAGCATGTAGTGGCAAATATCAAGAAGCTGTTTGGGGCCAAAATCAGACGTGGAAGATTTTTATGGTGTTGGGATTTTATAATGCAGTGAGAAACCATCAGAGTTTTTTGATTTGAGGAAGAAGGGGAGAGGGGGTGTGTCTTATAAAGAAAGTGCCATAGCTCAGTAAAGGTTGGGTTAAAGTGATAGAGTCTTAAAGACATTAAGACTGTTTTGGTCAAAAAAAAAAAAAAAAAGACTGTTTTGGTCATTGTTCTGGTCATCTAGTAGAAAGGTAATGAGGACCTGAATTATATCTCTTGTTGGAGGTAACATCAGTGGAATTTAGTGACTAGCAGTGTTTGGGTCAGGGACTGCCCAGTTCAATACTTGTTCACTTTTGGCAGATGGAAGTATTAATTAGAATGAATCAAATACCCTATCTTCCAGAGATTTTGGAAGGCCAGTAATCTGTACATAGGGCTAAGTGTTACAAGATTGATTTTAATAAGAGGAGCAGTGCTCTGAGTAGTTAAAAATAAATTAAGCAGTGGAATACCTTTTTCAAATAAAACCTTAAATAGAAACCAGAAATATGTAACAGATAAAACTGGAGTTGGTCTTTCTTGGGGGATGTGGAAGAAACTCTACTTGTTCGTATTTTTATTTCCGCTTCCCCTCATTCACTTCATTTGAAGTTAAGAGGCTGTGGAAAACAATTTGCAAAGCAGTACTCAGAAGCAGAGTATAATGCATTTGTTCAAATGGGGTTTTTTGGTATCTTATTAGCTACTGATTTTCTACTTTCTTAAGATGGAAATTAAGCACTTCTAGTGATAAGGTTTTAGAACTGTTATTCCTTTTATGTAGAGAACATTTTTTAGGCCTTTTATTTGAAGCTCCTATTCTGTAGAGAAAACTCAGAAAATAATTAAAAGCATGTAATTCAATGGTTTTGACAAGTAATTTTGATTGAACATGTATTTTGTTGGGTGGAATCTCATATATACACACTGGATGTTATACTGGATGTATATAAATAAGCCTCTAGTCTAGTGAGTTAGACACTATGTACATCAAATAGCTAGGAACTGAACATAGAATAAGAATAATGTGGGAACACACAGAGTTCAGGCAAAGTGTCAGAGATTGAAGGATGGTAGTTATTTCTCCCAGCAGGAGGATGGAGTAGAGTTGATTAGAGGGAACAATATAAACTAAAAGAGCTAGGAAATGTGAGTATGTAACACCTAATAAAATGCAGTAGAAGTTATGAGAATACATGAGGGCAGTCATTTTTTTTTCTATTTTGTTCATTGTTTTTTCTCCAGCAGCACTTAGTAGGCACTCAAGAAATATTTGCTGAATAAATGAATTGGTAATGATGTTAAATCCAGTCACTTTACATTTTTGTTATTGTTTTGGTATTTTTAAAGTTGTAGAGATCATCAAAAAAGTGAAATTTGTTAGATGAAGATGAGCTAAAATAAGATGGACCTGCTTTTTAATGAGTAGCAAAAATTTATAGACTTCCTTGAGCAAGGCAATAATTAAAATATAAGTTGCTTTTTAAATAACATTGATTAGATCTTATGTTGCTGAAGTTTTCAAATCTCATGAATATGATGAAAGAATATCTTAGAGAAAGTTTAAGTATTTAAATTATAAAATTGCTTAATGATTTCAGGAGAGGGGCTTACGGTTCCATAGGATGTTAAATTTGAGTTATGAGGTTATCAAATAGTGTTTAAGAGAACATGGTTTTCCAATTGTGGTAGGAATGTTGATCAGAAGTAAAATAGAAATACTATTTTAGTGAAATTCTAAGGGAGGGAGGTTTTTCAAAGCCACATATGACATATCTGACTTAAAACATGTGAGGTCTTAGAGATTTTAATGTGATACTGTTCATTATTAGTCACTTAATATATGTCATTAGATTGAGTTGGGATATCAAGATATTATGGTCATTGGATGAAATGAGTTGGTTTTCTAAGCAAATTGGGATTTTAATAATTTGTGAAAACATTTTCTGTTTCTTACAGGATATGACATGTCTACATTTATTAGGCGGTATAGTAGATATCTTAATGAAAAAGCAGTTTCATACAGACAAGTTGCATTTGATTTCACAAAAGTGAAAAGAGGGTGAGTTAAGCTTTCCCTTTTTTTGATATCTGATGTATTTGACTATTTTAAAATGTAAACCATAGAAATTACTAGATTATGAATTGTGAAATGTTAGGCCAGTTTTAAAAGATGAATTTTATTTTTCTTTGAAGTATATCATATGCTTTTTGTGCTAGGATTTTTTAAAGTTCTTTTTAATTTTATAACAGCTTTTTTGAGATACAGTTCACATAACCTAAAATTCACTGTTTTAAAAGTATATAATTAAGTGGGTTTTAGTATATTTACAAAGTTGTGCCACATCACTGTCTAATCTCAGAATATTTCATCATTCCTGTGAGAAACCTCATACCCATTAGCAGTCCTTCTCATTTCCTTCTTCCTCCAGACCGTGGCAGCTACAAATCTTCTTTCTGTCTTTATGGATTTGCCTATTCTAGATATTTTATGTAAATGAAATTATACATTGTATGGCCTTTTGAGTCTGGCTTTTCTCACCTATCAAAATGTATTCAAGTTGTAGCATCCTTGTTGTAGTGTGGATTGCTACCTGATACAGCCTGGTATACAGATTTTTCTTATGGTATATGAGCTCTCAGGAAAAAAGCCACTAAAGACATTCTTAAGGGGCATTGGTGACCCTTGTAGCTCTAAAGGACTGCCCTGATGGGAATCTGGCTTCTGCAGAAATATTTTGGTGAATGCCTTTCTGAATTTCCTTGCTGCTCAAATACCGAAGCAATTAATGTTTTCTTTAAATTGTTCTCTTGAAATGTTAAATTACCAGACTGCAATGGAAAATTTTCTACAAATGTAGAAATAACCCCTTAGTTATTTAAGCATTATTTTTTTAAGATTTTATTTATTTATTTGAGAGAGTCGAGTGAGTGTGTGCTCCAACAGGGGCAGGAGCAGAGGGAAAGGGAGGTAATCTCCAGCGGACTCTGCTGAATGCAGATCCTGAAGTGGGGCTCCATCCCACAACTGTGAGACCATGACCTGAGCCCAAACCAAGAGTCGGATGCCCAACCAACTGAGCCACCCAGGCGCCTCAGCATTTTTATTTTTTAAATTTTTATTTTATTTTTTTTAAGATTTTATGTATTTATTTGAGAGAGAGAGTGCCTGCACACACAGTGGGGTGGGGGGGAGTGGGCAGGGGTGGGGGAGGGGCAGAGGGAGAGATTACCAAGCAGAGTCTGGGCTGAGCATGGAGCCTGACTCAGCTTGATCTCACGAGCCAGAGATCATGACCTGAGCTGAAACCAAGAGTCAGACACTTAACCGACTGAGCCACCCAGGCGCCTCTAAGCATTTTTAGAACAATCTAAATGTTCTTTGTCACTATTCAAAATTAATCAGGAGGTGATTAGTTGGAATTTACTGAAACTTAATATCCACAGATTTTGTTTCCTATATTTAAGTACTTTGTTATTTGTGAGATGATAGTAGAGGGGTTCATCTTACAAATTTGGTTCTTAATTCCAGTGTTCTGTCCCATGAACCATTTTCCATTTGGACTTATATTAATATTTCACTATAAAGTGTGTTCAGTAAAACTAATCTTCAAGATACTTGTAGATTTCAGATTAATAGATTTTTAAAATAGTAACTTTTTTTCTAATCTGAAGGGCTAGTTTTGAGATTGAGGAGAGTTGCTGCACGCTGTGTTTAATAGAGCAAACTTTTATTATTTGGCTGAGAACAGCCCTTGATTATGCACAATATATTTAGTATTGACTTAAAGGAAATTACTCTTAAAGGGAAAGGAAAGTAAATCAAGGAGCCATAATTGAGTAAACCAAGAAGCACAAAATTTGACAAGCACACATAGCTACATACACATAGTATATATGTATCAGATTATATATATATATATATATAAGAAAAAGTATAGGACATTAGGGTGTGAGTTGAGAATGTGACAGCACTTAAAATTTATTATATAATAAAAAAAATTTATTATATCATGGCTAAACCTCAGTGAACTGTTTTAATTTTGGAGAGGATTTGTGTGGTAAATAGTAAAGTTTTATTTATTAGGGTAATAATTTTGTATGTTTGGTATATGGAAACTGGTATATGTAACCTATAATTAGAAATAAGTATATATATGAAGGCACAGAGAAAATCATGTAACAAATTGGATTATGTTATTTGAAGACTGCTTTCCTTCCCTGTTGTGTATTTTAAATATTTTCAATCAGTACTTCTGGATCTATTTCATTCTTCTGAATGGCTATAGGATTATGTTCTAGATGTACATTTGATCTACTGTCATTTTTTTGTCTTATAAAAGCAATGCATTGACCATCCTTTTACATGTTATATTCTTTTTTTTAAATTATTAACGTATAATGTATTTGTTTCAGGGGTACAGGTCTGTGATTCATCAGTCTTACACAATACACAGTGCTCACCACAACACATACTATCCCCAATGTCTATCACCCAGCCACCCCCCATCCCCCCAGATGTTGTTACATTCTTAAGTGAAGTTTCCTGTAGAATAAATTCTTAGAACCGATAAGTCAAAGGATATATATATACATTTAACATTTTAATAGAAAACACCAAATTGCCCTTTATAAAAGTTGTACTGCATTATTGACTTAAATATAGTTATAGATACCTCTTTCACTATATTCTTCCATCCTCATCAAAAAGTATCTCATTAGGTGTTTGTTTTACATTGAGTCATTGAAAATTCAATAAATGGTGTTACTGAACCTCTTTCTCTCTTAAAATGCCATTCATGCTTTGTTCATTGCCTTTCAGTATCTTTTGCCCCCTTCCCTGTTGGGTATTTTCTTTCCTATTATGTTTAATGTTAAGAGCTCACAGGCTGTTTGGTTTTTTTTTAAGATTTTATTTATTCATTTGTCAGAGAACGCATGTGCATAAGCAAGGGGGAGTGTCAGGGCAGAGGGAGAAGCAGGCTCCCCTGCTGAGCAAGGAGCCTCATGTGGGACTCAGTCCCCAGACTCTCATGACCTATGCCTAAGGCAGACACGTAACTGACTGAGCCACCCAGGTGTCCCTCACAGGCTGTTTAGTCAGATTAATCTAGGTTTGAATTCTAGCTTCACTTCAGTTAGATGAGGAATTTTAATAACATACTTCAGCCAGCTTGCTGACTTTTGAAAAATAACTTTATTTTGAAATAATTTCACTTCCAGAAATGCTGCAAGAATAATATAGGTAACTCCTATACACTTTACTCAGATTCATCAGATTTTATTATTTTCTCACATTTACTTAATTATTCTGTGTGTGTATATACTTTTTTTCCTGAGCCATTTGAAAGTGGATTGCATACCTCTTGCCTTTTATATCCCATAATATTTCAGTGCTTCTTTCTAAGAACAGGGATCTTTTATTACATATCCATCAGCTTGCTAATTTTTTCTACATCGTGGCACATAAACTGATACCACTGGACAGTGGGTTAAATTAAGAACACTTCTTGAGGCTGAAGGGTTAAGGATTAATGTCTTGGTGCATATATAACCAATTTGTACTGTTTGTTCTGCGCAATGGGGAAGCTTTGATTTAAGCTCTGAATTATTTCATCTATAAAATGTAAAACAGTGATGTTATTAGCACTTGTCTGTTAGAATCATAGTGAGAATTAAATATTGTGTGTAATGCTTATTAGCATATGGCAAACACTCAAACTTTTTGTATATTAGGAAAATAAATTGTCATGAGTTACAAATATTTTTTCTTTCTTTTTTAAATGTGACTAAAAGTCTTAAAATCTTACGTGATCAAAATAGTAGTCTTTATTTTTATGGCTTTTTTCTTTTTAAGGACACTCAAAATGAGCTTTTCTACCCCCAAAATGATCAATTACCTATTCATGTTTTCATTGTATGTATTTGTGGATTCAGTATTTTAGGTTTAAGTCTTTGATTCATTTGTAATATATCTTGGTATAAGAAAAGTGAGGTGGAGATCAGCTATAATTTTATAGAATATAGGATATTTAAAAATTAAGATTTATTGCCCAGTAATGGTTAAATGACTTTTTGCTTATAAGTACTACTTTCTTTTAAATAAAGCCTCTTTTTTGTTATTTTGGTAAATACTTAGTCATTCTTCAAGAATTCACTCAAACAACATTTCTTTGAGGAAATCTTATTTCTATTGTTAAATTTTATGTAACATGTCACCTACATGAGGGCAATATAACCTTAGTCATATCATCAGGACTTCCACGGTGTCTAAACATAGTAGGTGTTTAGCAGTTTTTGAAAAGATGACTAGATCACTTTGTAAACAGTGTATTAAATGGTTCTGTGGAAAATGAATCCAGTAAATTGCCTGTAGATTTATCTTTTCAGTTGGTTATTAAACATCACTCCCTAGATGAACCATGAGAGATGATGGACTCTGAAAAACAAACAGGGTTCTAGAGGGGAGGGGGGTGGGAGGATGGGTTAGCCTGGTGGTGGGTATTGAGGAGGGCACATTCTGCATGGAGCACTGGGTGTTATGCACAAACAATGAATCATGGAACACTTCATCTAAAACTAATGATGTAATGTATGGGGATTAACATAAGAATAAAAAAAAATAAACATCACTCCCTATGTTTTCTTTTTGTTTAACATTCTACTTTTTGATCATACTAACTTAATATTGAATTATCTTGAATTCTAAATTGGTTTGATTCGAAGTATCAAGACACTATTACATAATAAGCAAAAGACAGAATAATCCAGGTATTTTCTGTAAATAAGGACATGGATGACCAGCCTTTAATCCATTGCTTTTTTATTTGAGAAACAAGTATCTGAATTTTTTTTTTTTTTTAAGATTTTATTTATTTATTTGACAGAGAGAGACAGCAAGAGAGGGAACACAAGCAGGGGGAGTGGGAGGAGGAGAAGCAGGCTTCCCGCGGAGCAGGGAGCCCGATGCGGGGCTCGATCCCAGGACCCTGGGATCATGACCTGAGCCGAAGGCAGACACTTAACGACTGAGCCACCCAGGCGCCCCCAAGTATCTGAATTTAATTATAATGTATTTAAGAAGTCGTAAAACTTGGTGTTCTGCATGGGGTATGAATTGTCATGTATTTGGTCTGAATCATATTCAAGCACTTGGGTTAGTGAACTGAGTCTTTTAAAATCTAAATATAAGCATTTGGTAGCTGTTAAGATTTTTCTTAATTGAGAAATTTGAAGTTCTTTGGAAAGAAATGATGTGGGAGCTAGTTGGGGGGGGAATCAAAATTGTCCCCAGGCTTTCTGGTGTAAGTCCCTGGGGAGATGGGCACCTTTTACTGGGAAGATTTTGGAGTGGAGTAGGGTTGGGCATAGTGGTACAAAATTAAGGACTTAGTTTTGGAAATACTAGTTTTGACATGCCTGTGATTTGTATAAGGTGAGATATCAAGTGGACAATTGGACATACTAACTTGGAACTTGAGAGTTCTGATCTAGGAGTATAAGTCTGTCATTGGCATCTTGGTGATTTCTGTCTTGGGAATGACAGATCACCTGGGGGTTTAAGTACAGAATGAGTGGATAGGGCTCAGGAATACCTTAAGATACAAAACATGTAATTTAGAAGATGTGTAGAGGATGAGGAGCCAACAAGAGACTGAAAAAGTGATACTGCAGAAAACACTGTGTTAGACAAGTACCCATTGGAGAAACAACATGGGATTTCTACTATATGACCTAAACTAGAACAATTTAACTGGAGTTGATAGGAGAGGGGCCTATATTGGGATGAATTGAATAATGAATGAAAAGTGAGTGTAGAGCTCTTTTTGAGAAGTATGCTTGGCTTTGCAAGACAAATGGTAGCTGAATGGGAATATGATTTTAGTGGAGTGTGTGTGTTTAAAGAATGGTGATCATAGAGACTTTGCCAGCATGTTCATGGGAATGGTGTAGTATAAAAGAAGAGATTAATGAACTGCACTGTTCAATATGGTAGCTATTTGCTACATGTGGCTAGTGAAATTTAAATGAGTTAAAGTGAAATAAAATACAAAATACGTTTCTTCAGTTGCATCAGCCATATTTTGGATACTCAATAGCCCCATGTGGCTAGTGGCTACCATATTGAATGGTACAGATACTGAACATTTCCACCATTGCACATAGTTCTGTTAGTTCTATATTAGAGGAAAAAAAGGACAACCAAAGGATTGTGACAAAGTGGGATCCAGAGGACCTGTGTTTTTGGATATTTGTATTTGTATTTCATAGAAAGAGAGATTCCTCCACTGAATAGGACCAGACCAGATAGATGTAGTTTTGTTAGCGAGATGACTAGACAACCTCTTCTTGTCATTTTCTATTTCTGTATGAAATATTTAGGAGTTACGAGCTGAGAGTTTGTGTGTTGGGCGTAGGGAGGCAGGGAAGGACGAGTGAGAGAATCAGGTTTGAAAGTACTTAGAGGAATTCACCGGAGAAGGCTAAGAGGATTGCTGACAATGACGAGTCCCCATTTGGGGTTGATAATGAAATTTAGTTTGACTGGTTTGCTCTAAGTGGTTTTCTTCACCAGCATTCAGCTGCTTAGCCAGGATTGTGAATTTGCCAAGTTACTGCAAGAGTCGAGAGTATTTGCAAGGTAGTGATTACAATAATGATCTGTGGAATTCTAAGCTAGATAAAGGAAGTTAAAAATGAGAAGGGTCAATGAGAAGGGAGTGGTGGGAGTTGATACATTGAAGTTTATGATGAAGTCAAATAGTTTTTGCCATGGGGGTACTTGGCCAAAGCAGCTGGGAGGTTGAAGGGTTATTGCCATAGGATAAGGTATCTAAATTTTATCTACTTTTTCATACTGGTGGTCGGGGTGGAGGGTGGGAATAATATGATTTCTGTGGGCAGTAAGGTCATGATCTGACTATAGGAATAGGGATTTGATCAGGGGATTTGAGATCAAGATGTTGGATTGGTTGCCCATGTAGATGTTGAAATTAACCAAGAAGCCAGGATTCAGGTCTTTGATAAAGAGGAAATAAGCAGCAGGTCAGAAATGACTTCAGCAAGGAGAGGAGGGAGAACTAAAAGGAGACTAATGATGACTGATAAAATGAGAGTGAGGTGTATGAGAATAAAAAAATGGTTGTAGAGAGGAAGTGGTGTCCTCATGCCAAACTGCAGCAGCTAGTAGCAACCAGTGGACTACAGTACTTGAGGGGAAACGGGCATCCACGGGTTAATACTTCTTACTGGAAAGAGTTGTTGGACTAAGGCTGGTAATAGTTGCCTACCTAAGGGAGTCCAGTGTGTGTTCTTTAAACTCATTTTTGTCTTGCAAAGCACTATTGTTGATTTTCAGAGCTTAATTGTTTTTCTGGCACCTGGAGTTGTGATTGAAGGGGTAGCCCAGGGTAGAGTGGCTATTTATAAGTAAGTGTAGGTCATTTGTAAATTAGAGAAAGTCTACACACTTTCTGGAAGTGATTGTTTTTTTCTGACAAAGGGTTATGAACAGCACTGTTTTCGAGGCTAGGTTTACATAATGACCCTACCACCTGTTAGTTCTCTGACCTTAGAGAGAGTCATATAATCTCAGTGAACCTAGAACTTCATCATCAACAAAATGGGAAAAGTCTATCTATAGAGGATTTGAAAAACATACACCAAACCCTTAAAATGGAGCCTGATGTTCATTGTGTACCTTAGCCCCAGGTACCTCTTATCTAGTGTTTTTGGTACTACTTTTGTAAAAGTGTAGTTTTTTCTGATACTGCTAATATTTCTTGTATCTTTAGAAATATCTAAAGCAATATTTAAATCTTTTTGGAAATTTTAACAAAATATTGAAAAACAATTCCTCTTAAGTATCATATATTTTAATGGCTTACAAGTCATTGCTGTTTGAGTCATAAATAAAATACCTTAAATAAAGCAGTTGCTTACTATGACTTGAATTCAACTGCTGGCTCCATCATATCCCAACTGTTCAGTGATTTGAGGCCAATGATTTTTTCTTATTAAAAAAAAAAATCTGTAGAACTGCCCTTTACACATATGAATGGTGTGAGGATCAGATGATTTCCTCATGTGAAGAATACGCTTTAAATCTGGCTGTATAATATAAACTTTTATTTTTATGTCTCATGTTTTTACACTTTTTTTTTTTTAGCTCTTTGATGTTGGACATACAGCATTTCTTGTTTTTGTTTTTTTCTGTATAACTTTTGCTTGAAGTGTCAGGTTCATTAATGATTTAAAAATATGTGATATTTCATAGCAACTTGTTCTCTCTTTAAATAGAGAACCAGATGAGAGCTTAAAATGTAGATTTAACAACAATTATTTCTTTTTTTTTTTAATAAAAACAGGGCTGATGGTGTTATGAGAACAATGAACACAGAAAAACTCCTAAAAACTGTACCAATTATTCAAAATCAAATGGATGCCCTTCTTGATTTTAATGTAAGTTGATTGCACAAATGCTTTTATAAAAATTTAAGATTCAAATATATTATTGGTCAGTCTTTATTCCTAAGTTTTCATAAACTAAGTTTTTCACTTTAATATCCTATTTGGCTAAAGATTTTCTGTAAATGTGGTCCCAAATCAGATTACTTTTTATTTTTATTTTTTTAGATTTGCTCTGATTTCTTTGGTGGTATTTCTCTAGCTCTAGAATTATAGGGTATACTAGCTAAAGAAAGTGATGGAGAGGTGAAGGGATTGATCTGAAAATCTGCTTTCTTTTGATAATGGTTTTTAGATTTTAAAAATATATAAAGATTTTCTTTATGAATAGTCAATTTAATATTTCACTTTTGTCTGCATTATAGAACTGAATGCATGTCAGTTATTAACAAATACAGGGAAGTTCAAGTACACTTGTAACAGCTTATTATATAAATAGCTGTTGCTGAAGAGCATTGTGTTCCCTGAAAGTTTTGTTTCAGTGACCATTATTTAAACCAAGTTGCCAGCTTTGTCACTTGTTTATAATATGTTAGGTGTTAGCATTTTCGAGTCTGTTCTTTTTGGGGGCATCTATCTTTAGATATTTTATTTTAGAGCTTATAAGTGCAAGTTAGTGAATGAAACTGTGACAATTTCATACCCAAATAGATTTTTCCTTTAACTTGTGCTATTAATTGGTAGTCTTTAAGTTTCTTGAGGGCAGGGACCAGGTCTGCTTTTTCTCTGCTGTGTCTCCATTGTCAGGAGTGTGTGGCATATAGAGTGCATGTTCAGTAAACATTCGGTAAATGAGTTCTATAGATGCTTCATAGACTAGAACAGGTTATTAAACTATGGCTTACTGCCTGGTTTATATGGCTTGTGAGCTAAGAATGATTTTTATATATTTTAAATGGTTGAAAATAATTTTAAAAAAAGGAATATTTTTGACAGGTGAAAATTATATGAAATTTCAATTCAGTTTCTGTAATAGTATTTTTACAGTACAACCAAGCTCACTGGTTTACATATTGTCTGTGGATGCTTTTTTGATGTAATAACAGAGTTGAGTAGTTCTGACAGATACCATACGATTCGCAGAATCTAAAATATTCACATTTAGATTTTTTGCAAAAGACGGTTGCTGATCTCTAGTGTGTTAGTGTGTGTTACCTGCACATTTATAAATTTTATAGGGTTAATGCCTAGAAAAAGAATTTGGTAGAGCAAAGGACATAAACATTTAGATTTTTAATGAATATTGACAACTTACATTACAAAAGGATTAAGCCCAGTCACTTGTAAATAGGTGCCTGTTTTTCTTTATCCTTGTTGGCACTGAGTAATATAGCTTGGTTTTGATAATTTTGGTACCTCCTAGTCTGGTGCTGGAGAAAGGATAGTTTTAGTCTAATTTGATTATTATATTTTAATTTACCTGATAAGGGAAGTCTTTTCAACATGTTATGTGAATTGTCTGTCATTTGCTTTATTATTAGGATTCTCTACGATGGAAATCAACCTTGTTAGAGATTTTACAAGTATTTACCAGTTTGTTGTTTACTGTTCAACTTTGTGCTTATGTTTTTATATGCCTAAAAACGAGTTAATTGGTTCATCCTTTTGATTCATTTCTTGAGATAAAACTTTCATAAACTAGTATTAGTATTCTTGATAGACAAATAGGTGCTTTTTTTTGTTACATCATAATTCAGTAATAGTAACATTCTTTATGTGTGAGGGACTGTGCTATTTATAGTCAGTATATTAATTCTCCCAGTAATCATATGAAATAGAAATATTATCATAGCCATTTTGAAGGTATTTGTTTATAATATTGGAAAAAGGTGTATTTAAAAAAAAATACGTTTCTTCTACCTAGCTTAGCTTTGTATCTTGGTGATTGCCTAAGAATTTCAGAAGTTAAAGGATATTTTTGTTCTTTGTGACTTATTTCTGAATTAAATTGAATGTTACAGAATTTTTGCTTGCTTGTGCCTTTTACATTAATCTGAACTCTGACAGATTTTTGCACTATTGGGATGTAACTGATTGCAAGAAATAAATGTCTTTTTCTGTAATACACTTAAATATTTGAATTTACAATATTTTAATTTGAAGGAAGTTTTTGTCATTTAATACATAAGATTAGCTTATCTTTTTTTCTAATTTTCCCCCAGGTTAATAGTAATGAACTTACAAATGGGGTAATAAATGCTGCCTTCATGCTCCTGTTCAAAGATGCCATTAGACTGTTTGCAGCATACAACGAAGGAATTATTAACCTGTTGGGTAAATATTGCTGTGGTTTGTTAATTGTTGTTGCTGTTTTTTAAGATTTTATTTACTTATTTGAGAGAGAGAGAGAGATTGAGAAAGCACAGCCAGGAGTAGGAACAGAGGGAGAGGGAGAAGCAGACTCCCTGCTGAGCAGGGGGCCCAATGCAGGGCTCGATCCCAGGACTCCAGGATTATGACCTGAGCTGAAGGTAGACGCTTGACGACTGAGCCACCCACGCCCCGCAATATTGCTGTAGTTTAATAACATTTTATTTTTTTATTTTGTGTTCTATTGATAATATTGTCTGAGTTGTTACTTAGGGCTGCCTAACCACTCACTGGGATATTTATTGATTATAACAATTTATTTGGAGAAAAGATTTTTATACCTGATTATGTTAAGTAATTAAATACTTATTTTTACAACTAGAATGTTCAGCTGGATGAACTTCATTTTATTTATTTATTTTTAAGATTTACTTATTTATTTTAGAGAGAGAGAGAGAGATGCATGCAAGCGGGGGGGAGGGGAAGAGGGAGAGAGACAAAGAATCCCCAAGTAGATTTCCCACTGAGTAGGGAGCCGTATGCTGGACTCAATCCCAGGACCCTGTGATCATGACCTGGGCCAAAACCAAGAGCCAGCTGCTCAACCAACTGAGCTGCCTAGGTACCCCTAGATGAATTTTGATTTTTAGATATATCTGTGATTTTTTTCCTGTCAGTTTTATTATTTTTAGAAATATAAAAATCCCCTTAAAATTAAGTTGGATTTTTTTCTCTGCCAGAAGAATCTTACTTCCTCACAATTTACTCCATAAAGAATTTTATTTATAAAATACATAATTGTTCTAAGCCTAATTTTAAAATTGATAATTATTTTAAATGCATTAAACATTTATTTTTTAGGATGCCTTTTACTTTTGAGGCATTTTAAGAATGTGTATGTTCAGTGTATATAGAATGCAGTTAATTTTGCCTAGAAATGATCATTTTTTCCATGGGACTTGGATGGAGTAGATAAGTTAACAGTCTAAAGAGTACTTAAGTATCAAGTGTCAGATACCAGATGTGTTCACTCCATTGTGCTTGTTCTCCCTCCCCTCCCCATTTAAAAAATTTATTTAAATTTGCTTTTTATAGGCTTATTCACAAACTTATTTAGGAATACCTTAATTTATGAAGACAGGGAAATTGGGCCTATTTTTTCACAAGTAAAAAGGTAGAAGGTTTATTCTACATAGTTTTGGAAGTCAGTCTTTTTTTTTTTTTTTTTTTAAGATTTTATTTGACAGACACAGCGAGAGAGGGAACACAAGCAGGGGGAGTGGGAGAGGGAGAAGCAGGCTTCCCGCGGAGCAGGGAGCCCAATGCGGGGCTCCATCCCAGGACCCTCAGATCATGACCTGAGCCGAAGGCAGACGCTTAACGACTGAGCCACCCAGGTGCCCCTTGAAGTCAGTCTTAACACTGTTGGTGTATTGGTATAAATGAAGCTCTTTATTGCTGTTCATATAACAAGTTTAAATGAGCTTTCCAGGTGACATTTGGACATGATAAAGTTGCCATCTTTGTTAATATGTTATTAGTAAGTTGGCAGTGTTTTAAATGGAGAAAAGTATAACATACGTTAACAAAAAATGCAAATTATATTTAGGGAATTCTGAGGGAAGAAATATTATAGAACAAACTAGTAATATGGGGGAAGTCAAATGATTTTTCTATTTTAATATAATAGCATCTGTTTTAATTTGCTTTAAATGTCTGAACTAACACTGATATTTTTCCTTTGGGTGAATGTGTTCTCTGAGACACCTGTATGACCTCTTTGGAGCTATTACTTAATCCTTTTCCTTTTTGAGTGTTCTGTTTTGATGTGAATAAATGCATTTTTACATTTACTTTTGGCAGAAAAATATTTTGATATGAAAAAGAACCAGTGCAAAGAAGGTCTCGACATCTATAAGAAGTTCCTGACTAGGATGACAAGAATCTCAGAGTTTCTCAAAGTTGCAGAGGTAAACTGTCTTTAAGTTGACAGTCTCTTAACTTGCTTTTTTTGTCATTAAGTGTAGATTTTAAAGAAATAAGGCATTATCCAAATGAAAGAAACATCTTAAATATAATGAAGTATATATTCAGTCATATCCATATGCTGTATTGAATTCTTTGTTATGGTATGAATATGATGTGGTATTGAATAAGATATATACCATATATTTAATTCAGTATTGAATATTGAAAGGTAATCTATTTTTAATTTGTTTATTTCTCTACAAAATCAGGTAGGTGGCACATAATGGTGGCAGAGATTTTTATGTTTGGCATTAGCCATGTATTTTAGCATATTTATCCTGTTATGTGGTAGAGAATATTCAGTGTGAGTGCAAGTCTTTTTCCTCCAGTGAGATTTGCAGCTAGAGTCACATGGTTCATAGTGTTTTGTTCCCCTACAGAAGTGAATTTAGTGTGTTTATTGTTTATCATTGATTCTGAAAACCATGAATGTAGGTTCTAGGATAATTTTATAGATCTGTTTAAAATACAATTTTCTGGATTTCTAAAATAGCATTATACTACTTTACTTAAATTGTTCTTTTCTTCTTTTGTTCCCCCATTATTCAGTTTAATCTAATAACAGTGAATACAATTTAATTAGAAAATTTTCCTCAAAAGATATTTTTTTCCTATAAGAAAGCACGGAATATTTTAAAACAATGTTAGTCTGAGCCAACATTTTAATTTTTTAGTGAGCTCATTAGAATGATAAACTTTAAGATGATTCATAATAACATTTCTATATCAATCTATAGAAATTGTTCTTAGCCATCCACTGATAACCTCTCCTCATTTTCTCCCCATGACACCCAGAAAACATGTGTTCTCTAGCGTGGTTTTGATTCTGCAGTGGGGTGTTAGAAAACTTGGGTGCTTATGTCCTGAGTTTGAACTCTGATTTCAGCTATAACAGCTCGGTACAGGTCCTTAATCTTGGCATCCCATGGTTTCCTCCTCTGTAAAAGTACTTGAGATAGTGCTTACCTCACTGGGTTGTTGTAAAATTGCTTAGAACAGTATCTGACTTCTAGTTTGTGTCCTGAAGACATTTGCTGCTATTTTTATTCTCCCCCACCGTGAGAAAGCACATATTGGAATGCAAATGAATGTCAATCTTGGTCTTTTAAGGATAATTAATCTAATATATATTTTATAGGAATATTGTATTATACACTTATATTTTCTAATGAAAAGAAAGTAATCTGTAACCTTCAATTCAGAATCCAACAGATGTCCTATTTTGAGAACTGTTCCTCTAGGTAATTTTCTTTTCTGTTTTGATGTGTACAAAGGATTTTAACAGGTAGCTAAATGATGTTTGAAAAGCATAGTTCATTCATTCTGGCCAATAAAATAATTGAAGGATTTAATTAGTTGAGACAAAAATATTTTACTTTTAAGATGTTCAAACTGTTCGAAACATCTTATTGAAGAATTTATCTTTTGCCGGAAACCATAATAAAAATAATAAAAAGCTAATAAAACCCTGCTTTAAAAAAAATAAATTTCTGGCATTGTCACAGAAGGCATTTATGTTGTGGTAATGCTTGCAGGCATTATCTTGCTTGCCCAGAGGCAGCTCTCAAAGAGTTTTTGTTTTCACTTTCTCTGCCTTCTGCCCATCACCAGTAGAGATGTCTTGCTAGGATAATTTTGGAAGATGACTAGGCTATAATTGATCAATTATATCAAAGTAGTTAATCTGGAACTAGCAAGTTGGTGATTCTAGCTCTGTTACCATAGTGGTATTTCAACCTATAGCGGATGGAGTAGGATAGAATAGGACGATGAGACCTTTACGTTAGCTATTTTATGAACTCTACTGAAGATTATATTGGATTTAAAGTATCTCTCAAGGAGAAATCAATTTTTTTTTTCCATTTCTTTTGGGTCAGTCATATACTAAAACAAGAAGGTAGTGTTTATACTATGTTTCCAGTAAATTGTTTAACTGTTTTAATTTGTCGACTTTTTCCTTTAGCCTCTTATGTTCTTTGCATTTGATCGTTGTAGTTATTGACTTAAATTTTAAGCCTTTATTTACCTCCAGTTCTTTTGGTCTGAGATGAAATAGACCATCTGCTCCATATGATGTGAGAAATAAAATATTCTTTCATGAGACTGTCTTTGGGCTTGCAGATTGTGACAGCTTAGCTTACCTAGGTGCTCAGAAGATGTGGAGATGGTAACTTAATAGTCTTATTGAATTTACCACCTCTAGTTCTCCTCCTTTTATAACTTTCAGAGCCATTAAAGAACATCTAAGCCCTTGGAAATATTGAATGATACCTCTGGAGATTAAATATTCTTCTGATTTTAAAGATGTCTGTCTAGAATATTGTTCACAATACTTGCCGTAAATTTCATTTTCTAAATTTTATTTTTATTACTTCTTTATTATAATTTTGTTCATTAAATACAATGCTTCTGCTTCTTACAGCAAGTTGGAATTGACAGAGGTGATATACCAGACCTTTCACAGGTAAGTATATTGCATAATATCAATTCACTGTCTGCTAGCTTTCCCTGTATTGCTAGGTGTGAACAGTACAAAGATGAATAATATGCAGCTCCTACTGTCAAGGAGATCAGTGTAATTTTTCTTGACAGATTTTAACATGATACATTGCTGACTCTTGTTTTAGCATTGTGATCTCTTCATCTCTTAACGTTGGTGGAGCTAGCCACTACATACTATTCCTTTAGTTTATTTTCTTTAATCTCTCCAGTGCAAAGCCCAGTTTTAATTTAGGATTCTGTAACATAGTAGTTTATCTAAACTTTCAGCTTAGATATACCTTACACTCTGTGTTGGCTCCTGCTCTATATCAGATATGTGATCTTAGGCAAGATATTTACATTTCACTGTCTCAGGTTGTTCATTTGTAAAATGGATATACTACTAGTACCTTCCTCATAGACTCAGTAATTACATACAAGGTAGCTAGCATGTTGCCTGTTGTGCTGTAATAGCTTTTTATTTTTATTTTATTATTTTTTTTAAATATTTTATTTATTTATTTGACAGAGACAGCGAGAGCAGGAACACAAGCAGGGGGAGTGGGAGAGGGAGAAGC